CAAGGCAAGTTCATTCAACTAGTTCTTCTGAAGTTTCAACTACTCGCCCTCCTCCTGAACCACCGCCTCACTTTGAGAGAGTTAATTAGTGCTCAACTGGATCTCCTTTTTAGGGGTTGGTCCAATCGAGGATTCAGCCAATTTCATATAGGTTGAGTTTCTTTTGTTGTCTGCTGGTCAAATAAATTATCCCTTTTCGGTGACCGGTGATTTTTTTTTTTTTTTTGCAACTTTTATTTTTCCTTTGAAGTAGCAAGAAGAACAACAACCTAGTTACACTAGACTACATTATTGCGTGGTTAGCGATTTAGAAGGATTTATGGGGTCCTTTCCGTTCATCTCATCTCATTGTAGTCTTAGACTATTCAATCACTTGTTTATTTGATATCACTTAATGATTAAATAGTTATTTGATTTAAAAAACATACGTGTTTATTCTCTTGAAGAATAATGAACTAATATATTCTATTGTTCAAGATTAGGAAACTATTATCATCAGTATCAAAACAATGAGGTTTAAATTTTCTCTTATAAATGGGAACTTTCCCCATTGTAATTGACACATTTTCAAGAGCAATTTTATCTCTATTCCCGTTGTGATTGACACACTTTTAAGAGCAACTTTACCCATATTTCACAACAAGTTATTAGCATGAAATTGATCCAAATCTCTGAAATCCGATCATCAACTTCCTGTGATTGATATTTACCTCATCAAGGATCCTTTAGGCAATACAAGCACAATATTTGAAAGAACCCAAAACTATACTTTGACAAATCTTTTGCAATTCTTGCTCTCTCATTTTGAATTTTATAATAAAAATGGATCTTTTAGTGCATTTTTGTGGGCAGGGCCGGTTTCGGGGGGGGGGGGGGGGGGGGGTGGCAACGATGAGGACCGTCCTAGACCTGAAAAAAATAGAAAAATTAGGCCCAAATTAAAATTCTTTCTTTATATATGATGTGAGTAGGTTATTTTTTTAAATTCAGTTAAATAGGCTTAATGTTTAATTTTTTTTGAAAATTCAAAACATAAATAAAAAAGTCTTAAACATAGTCAAGTTTAAAAAAGAATATATACATTAATTTTAAGTAGGTTCGGTTGTTGTGTTTAAAAGCAATACAATTGTTACCGGGTCAATAAAATACACGCCTCTTCGGTCTGCACATCTCTTTAGTAGTAAAGACTTTTTATTCATTTTAATTACTATCGTATAACATAAAAATTTGTATAATTATTTTCCAGCCCGTGGCTCTCAATCCCATCCCAATTATTTTTTTGTTTCCAAATTTCAATAAACTATGTTTGAGTTCCTAATAGTAGTTTTAGAGGAAGTTGAATTGATAGTTTTCTTGTGCAAGTCTTCTTGGCGATCAAGCATTTTGTCTCTTTGAAAAGCTTTATTCTTTCGAGGCTTCAAATTTTAGACTCTCAATGGTCAATGAATCATTCTCAACTTATGAATTCAGTATCGAATAATATGACTTTTCATTTATCCATTGAATTGTAACAGAAAGAAAGTTTAGTATTGTTATATGCGGTAATTTTATTGTTTCGAATTTTATTATTGGAAAAAGGTTGACTATGAAACGATTATTGATGATTTGTTTCATATTAATCTGCAAGAAACGATTTTAAGTAATTTTTTTTATTTGACACTTGTATTGTTAGTTTTGCCTCAAATATGTAACTTACACAATAAAGTGATTTTCGCCTTTATTTTATAAACTTTATTAGATAGTTTTATTATAATTCATATTTCAAATAAGTATGGTTTACGATTTGTTTCGGATATGAGTCCAAAATAGCGTATCTCATATATATGCCCGGAAATGAACAGGATCAACCCTGTTTGTGGGAAATTTGTATGATGAGAAATTTGTAGTACCTAAAGTGGGGCTCATTATACAAGATGTTGTACTTATGTAAATTTTAGTCACATTGAATCACTTCAATAATAATATATAAAATTTTCTGCCTTTATAAGATTATTGGGATGCTATATTATTTTACGATAGTATTATATTACACATTATTTCAAACAATATCCATAATACGTTTGATGTTGATGAATCTTCGATGACTACAAATTGTATATTTGTGTCTAATCAAAGAATTAGATTATCAAATCGTGGGTTTATTCCTTGTGTACGTAGTATAAATATTACTTACATGATAGACTTGAATGGTCTGTCAAATACATAAAGATAGTAACTAATCTATTCTTTCTAAAAATACAAAGATAATCATTGAATATATACAGGAGCAATAATGAGAAGATATTGAGCTGTGCGCCGTGATCTTCTCCTCTCGTGTAGCCGACTACCCATAGTACGTTTGTATATATGGAAATAGTGTTCCAAATAATTATTTTGTGACAATAATTATTTGTGCGTTAATACGCCCCCACAGTGGAAACGAGAGGGGACCGAACGTTGAGACTGGTGCGAAAGTCCTCAAATAGGATACGTGGTAGTCCCTTGGTAAAAATATCCGCAAATTGGTGTGTAGACGGAACATGAAGAACGCGAACATCTCCCCGAGCAACCTTTTCCCGGACAAAGTGAATATCAATTTCAATATGCTTTGTACGCTGATGTTGAACTGGATTGCCAGACATGTATACACTACTAATGTTGTCACAATAGACAATAGAGGCCTTAGTGAGGGGACAATGTAGCTCGAGTAAAAGGTTGCGAATCCAACAGGTCTCAGCTACCACGTTGGCGACACCGCGGTATTCGGCCTCGGCACTGGAGCGAGAAACGGTAGGCTGGCGTTTGGAGGACCAAGAAATAAGATTATCACCGAGAAACACACAGTAGCCGGAGGTAGAGCGGCGGGTGTCTGGGCAGCCGCCCCAGTCGGCATCAGTGTAAGCAATGAGAGAGGTGACCGGCGAAGCACGAAGAGTAATGCCAAACGTAGGAGTGCCTTTGATATATCGAATAATTCGTTTGAGAGCGTGAAAATGTGAGGCCCGAGGGTCGTGCATGAAGAGGCATATTTGTTGAACGGCATAGGAAATATCCGGGCGTGTGAAGGTGAGATATTGTAATGCGCCGGCGAGACTGCGGTAAAGGGAAGGGTCGTCCATGGGAGGCCCGGCAGAGGCACTTAGCTTTGATGTAGTGTCCACTGGGGTGTTAACTGGATTACAGGATTGCATGCCGGCACGAGAAATAATCTCCAAGGCATACTGGTGTTGTGATAAGAAGAGGCCACCTGCATGGCGAGAAACAGAAATGCCTAGGAAGTAGGTGAGGGGCCCCAGGTCTTTCATGGAGAATTCAGAGTTGAGACGGGCCATGATGGACTGACGAAGATGATTAGATGATGCGGTGAGTATTATGTCGTCGACATATAAGAGAATATAGGCTGTACCCGTGTCATGACGTAAAGTGAACAAAGAATGATCACATTTACTGTGAGTGAAGCCGAGGTTAGCCACAAAGGAAGCAAAACGATGATACCATGCTCGGGGAGCCTGTTTAAGACCATACAAGGATTTGAGGAGCCGGCAAACGTGATTGGGACGAGAGACATCACGGTAGCCGGGCGGTTGGTGCATGTACACAGTTTCCTCTAAATGACCGTGGAGAAATGCATTTTTGACGTCCAATTGATGTAGTGGCCAGGAGTGTGAGAGAGCCAAGCTAAGAATGATGCGTATAGTAGCCGGTTTAACCACCGGACTAAAGGTCTCGTCACAGTCCACACCAACCTGTTGAGAATTGCCGTTGACAACTAGGCGAGCCTTATGCCGCTCAAGTGACCCGTCAGACCTGTATTTATGTTTAAACAACCACATGCAACGAGGAATGTTAACGTCAGACGGGCGGGGAACCAACTCCCACGTCCTATTTTTAATAAGGGCACTATATTCATCGTCCATGGCGGACTTCCAATTAGGGTCACGGAGGGCTATGAGGGGTGATTTAGGTATGGGTGACGGGGTGAGGGTGACAGACAGATTAAATTGAACTTTTGGTTTAAAAATTCCTGACCGGCTACGTGTTACCATGCCGTGGCGAGACAGAGTAGGAGGTGGCTCGGATGGTATAGTGGGATTATTGGAGGGGTGTACAGTAGAGGAGATAATTGGTTCCAGAATGATGGGATTATTTGTTGGAGGCGGTGGGTTTTTAGAGATATGGGTAGTGGTGGGGTCATTGGCTGGATGAGTGGAGGTATGGGAATTTGGATGAGTGGAGTTATGGGAATTTGGATGAGTGGAGGACGACTTTTGCATGGGAGGAGATGAAGGCCATGCAAAAGCGTCAGGGATATATACGGAGGGGTGTGGGGGTGGGTCTAAAAAGTTATAAGAGGAAGATGGTAAGGAATCCGTAGAGGAGGTACCGAATGGAAAAATGGCTTCATTAAAGGTGACATGGCGGGATATAATGATTTGTTGGGTAGATAACACAAAACATTTATAACCCTTGTGATTGGGGGGATAACCGAGAAAAACACATGGAGTGGACCGGGCTTGAAGCTTGTGAATGGTTTGAGGGGAGATATGGGGAAAGCAAAGACACCCAAAAATACGTAAATGCGTATAAGTGGGGGATTGACGATATAATATATGAGTAGGGGTACGAAAAGACAAAGATTGGGAGGGGAGGATATTATAGAGGTAAGTTGCCATTTGAATTGCGTGAGGCCAGAATTTGGGAGGAACAGAGGCATGAAGTAGCAATGTACGAGCAATATTATTGAGTGTCCGTATAGTGCGTTCAGCCTTGCCGTTTTGGGGAGAAGTATAAGGGCAAGAGAATCGAAAATGCATGCCATGTGAAATACCGAATTGGCGAAATGAGGAATTGTCATATTCCTTGCCATTATCACATTGAAGAGTTTTAATGCACTTTTCGAATTGGGTTTGAATATATGTGTAAAAATTAACAAAAGTATTGAATGTTTGAGATTTATGGTGTAGAGGATATACCCATAAAAATTTTGTGAAATCATCCAGAAATAATACATAATAATGGTGTCCAGTAGAACTCAATACTGGGGAAGTCCATAAATCACTATGTATTAAATCAAAAGGCTGACTAGTAGTAGATAACGAGGAAGCAAATGGTAACTTAAGATGTTTACCCAACTGGCATGAATTACAAGAAGAACTCAAGATTTTATTACATTGGATAAGTTTATTTGTTCTAAGGTGACTAAAAACTGGATCGCCGGGGTGACCAAGACGGTTGTGCCATAGTTCGGCAGGAATGGAAAGACATGCAATAGAAGTGGCTGCGGAAGGGCCCGAGCGTGATGAAACTGGGTAGAGATGACTCGAACTGTTACACCGCATGACCTGTTCCCCCGATTGGAGATCCTTCACAGAAAAACCAAAGGGGTCAAATTCGACAGATACATTATTATCAGATGTAAATTGACGAACAGAAACAAGGTTTTTAATTAAACCCGGAGCATGAAGGACATTGTTTAAACGTAAATGGGGTTGGGTGGTAGAAAGAGAAGTGTGACCGTGCCCTAAAACTGGAATAGAATGGCCATTACCCACCAAGATACGGTGATTAGTGCGCGTATTAAAATAAGGAGTGAGAGTACCTTCGGAGGAGGTCATATGAGACGTAGCCCCAGTATCCATGTACCACTGGGCATCCGGCGGAGATAAGCTCATTGTATGCATGGCAGCATTGATATCCGTAGGAGCCGGAGCGACATTCGCCAGATGGGCCTGTGAAGGGCGTGGGCCTAGGATGCCGGCCGAGGACTTAGACAGTGCTGGTGCCCAGGGTTGTGAAGGGTATGGGCATGGCGGCATGGCCCAATATGCCCAGGGGGGAAACGGCCACTGTCCGGGGCTTGAGGGACCACCGGGATAGGGGAAGGCAGAATCACCGCGACCATGTGAGCGAGGCTTACCACCACGAGAAGAGCTGGAACGTCCACGACCGCGAGAGGAGCGGTTGTCTGGCCGGGGATGCTCACTGGAACGTGGTGGAGGTGGATGGGGGGTATTGGCGACTAGGGCAGCAGGTGAGTGAGCAGCTTGTTGTAGTTTCCTGGACTCTTCAAGGCACAACATGGATCTGGCTTGGGAAAATAGGGGAACCGGAGTGGCCTGCTGAATGAGGGAGGCGACGGTGTCGTAGTGTTCGGGCAGACCGTTGACCATGCGTAAAACAAGACGCTGATTGGACACGGGAGCGTCCACGTTAGCCAACTGGTCGGAGATGAGCTTCAACGCCTTGCAATAGGCGGTGACATTCGGGAATTGATCAAGGCGCAGGTTGGAAAACTGATTTTCCAAGTATGTTGCACGAACATGCTTGTTGTCTTGAAATATCTCCTGCAGGCGTTCCCAAGCGTGGGCTGCCGTGGAGTCGGGTGCAATGATCGTGTGGAGCAGATCATGAGAGATGGTGCCGTAGATCCATTGAAGGACGACGGCATCCAGGCGGTCCCAAAGAGATTGGGCTTCAACGGTGGCAGCCTCGTATGCGAGGCGTTGTTCCGCTGTACACGGGGAAGGTGGTGTGGGCGGTGCGGAAGAAGGATGCGACGGCAAAATGTGTTCAAGCACCTCATACGCACGGGCGGTGATCTTGAAGAGCTCTGCCCAAGAAGAATATTCGGAGGTTTCATTATCTAGGGTGATGGGGATGAAATTTTTTATGTTTGAAACAGCCAAAGCGGGATGGAATTTGGCAGAGGAAGAAGATGAGGCCATGGTTGGGAAAGGTAGGCTCTGATACCAAATTAGATTATCAAATCGTGGGTTTATTCCTTGTGTACGTAGTATAAATATTACTTACATGATAGACTTGAATGGTCTGTCAAATACATAAAGATAGTAACTAATCTATTCTTTCTAAAAATACAAAGATAATCATTGAATATATACAGGAGCAATAATGAGAAGATATTGAGCTGTGCGCCGTGATCTTCTCCTCTCGTGTAGCCGACTACCCATAGTACGTTTGTATATATGGAAATAGTGTTCCAAATAATTATTTTGTGACAATAATTATTTGTGCGTTAATACAAAGAGTAAAAGAATTAGCTTATGCATTCATTATCTATAAGGTAGGCCTGATTATGATTCTGCAATGAAACATGATTAATCGATTAAAAGTTAGAAGTCAAGAGTCAAGACCCCTTTTCCAGATACATAAGTCAAGAGTCAAGACCTTCTAGTCTAGATACATAATCAAATTCAGAAATCGATTTAAAAGAGTTACGTAGTACTCCTCCGTGTCCATTTAATTGATCCATTTGCTTTTCACGCAGTTTAAGACAATTACTGTAGACTTTATTAAAAGTAAGAGGTTTTTGGTACTGTAGCGGTCCTGTAGCAGTGCTGTAGCTACTTTTTGAGTGAGATTCTGTCCAAAAAGGGAAAGAGGTCAATTAATTTGATACCCAAAAAACGAAAGTGGGTCAATTAAATTGATACGGAGGGAGTATGATTTTTCAAAAATAGGATTGGACCAATTACAATTTCATCTGTTTTATGGCTAATCCAAATAGGACTACAACTAGTATCATAGATTTTGTTGGAAACTTACCCCCCTCTAGAACAAGTCTACTATTGCCCACACTAAGAATGTTCCTTCAACTCCATGCTCTTGACTAGCCACTGAACAAATGGCTTTACCATCTCTACACTCCATACACCTCTAGTAAAACTTGTCGCCATGGCCTATGATTTCACATGTAAAACAAAAACTAGAAAACTTTTCGATCAGCCCACACTGAATCACCCCACCCTACACAACTTCAGCTTCTCCAATAGTTTATCAACATCAAGATTCAAGACACACAAATTCTCAAATAAGTCACCGAGATATCACAAAATTGATTCTCACCTACTTTAATTGATTTTCTAGGTAGATTCTATGGTACCCATAAGGTATCATACCTTTGTCCACATGGATCAATGAGCATGTAGCAGTTTAATTATTTAAATCTAAATTAAAAATGATAAAGTGGTGTGATCCAATCAAATGAATGATAGGTACGGTACCCCATATTTTAGAAAGGTACCAGAGTTGTCACCTATTTTCTATACCTTTGCCACCTCAATTGACATAAAATCCACATGTAAGTTATGAACTTGCCTCCATAAATCAGAAAATATTAATTATACCTTAAGTGACCAAGAGATCATCATATCTAAGCGCATATATACTAACAGATTTTGCTCAAATAATCAGGGGTGTGCTAAAAAATGTACCTCTTATCATCAGTTTCCATCATTGAAGCACCTTTATTCCGACGCCATATAAAAGCCATAACCTCTCGAAATATATATAATTTACCTCCACCGATGAGTGATTTGCCTACACTCCTACACAGTTAAAAAGAAACTCTCAAAATATAGATAATTTTATTTTCTTATCTCTAATGAAAGTTCCTTCTAACGTTAGATGAGAAGCTCTGCCACCGCTGATTTCCTCCCCTTATATTCCACAAATAATTAAACTCATCTCCTCTTCCTCAATCGTCATTTGTGCTTCAACTCTCTTCCATACCCTGCTATCTCCACCCACCAGCCGCCGCTGTCAACGAAACAAAAAAAATAGAAGAAATAAAGCCGCCATTATCGAAGTAGAACCGAGCTCGCACACAGTGAGAAAACAAGGGTTGCTGGAGGCCCTACTAGAAAACATAAGATAAGTAACTATTGTATTTATGTTAAATACTTTTACAATGAATTATTGTTCAACTCGAAACAATCACTTGGACAGATACCTCTCTCTTTACACTCATGTACACAGTGATCAAAGTTCAATTTACATCCTTTCAGTGAGGATCGATATTGTTTGAGAGTACGATGATGTTCCTTAATCTTCTTCCTCAAGTACATGCAAGATCAATCGATGTGAGTCTTGGTCGCACATTTCAGATGCTTGCCCACTCTTTGTAATATACTAATATTACGATTGGAAATGTTTAGTCGGCCGGCCTTAGCTACATTTATGTAACCTACGTAATATAGTTGTTAGGAAAATGCTGAAATATTTGCCAGGCATTATATTATATGTTCCCTTTCATACAATTGCCCGACAATTGAAAGTTCTTATAACACTTTGTGCTTCACCTCCCCCCTTTTGATTAGAAATGCTGCTTCATTTCCTTAAATGTTATTGCTATAGGTGTACACTTGTCCGGGTTGTCTACTAAATATTTACGGAGTATATGTTTGCTAAGTTAGGAGATAAAGTGTTTTGGACCCCATTTACAATAAATTTAAAATAGCTATATTTGTGTGTGTGAGGGGGTGATTACACTTTGATTTGTGAATTGAGCGTGTTAGGTACTACACTACGTACTACTGGAGTACTGGTTATGTAAAGTTCTGAGAAATAGGAGTGAACGCAATGTGAATTGAAGTATTGTATTTTTTTCTTAAGTGAAAGTGCGTCAATTACATTTGGAAATAATATTGTAATCTTTTGACACTACTGGGCATTATGAAATACTCCATCTGTCCCGCTAAGATTGTCCCATTTTACCTTTTCGGGAAGTCGCACTAAGATTTTCTCATACCAAATTTGGTAAAGTTTGTGTGGTTCTAAATCATTCCTACTCTATTCTTACTTTAAGAATTTAATATCAACCACACAAACCCACCTTTCTTAATAAGCGTGTCACCTTCTCTTGTCTCAATCTTAATGAGATGGAGGTAGTAATTATTCTTATTTGTGAAAAATATGGTATTGCTATTATGAAATTTTACATTGTTTTACGCCTATTATGAAATGGAAAATGCTTAGTGTATATGACTTGTACACAAATTATACACAAAACCTCATATGTGCCTGTGTACACAAACAATTCGTTTAAAAGGGGACAAGACTTCATATCAAATTGTTGTGTAAACAGGCAATGTACACATTTTGTGTACAACTTGTGTACATCAAGAACGGTCGTTATGAAATTCATGCTGTCATACAACATAATTTATTAAACAATAAAGAAAACATCAATTAGATGAAAGAAAGCTAAAACTCCCAAATCATTTTAATAGCTGGCCGGATTCAAGTGATTTCATTTTGTCAATATAGACACGAAAAAAATGTAATTTGTAGCATCTATATTCACATAAATTGAATTGTTTCAGCTGTACTTTGAAAGGGTAAGACAACTATGGGGGAATATGAATTGTTAATTGATTTAACGGTCAATGTTTGCACTAGAGGGTGAATACTCTATTCAGGAATACAATACTCAATGTGATTCTAATGAAAATAATGTTTTAACTTATTTTGCATCCTAGCTCAATCTGATGCACTAGGATGCTCATTGCACTTTTTGAATTTCGGCACATCATATAGATCGAGTGACAATTTCGTAAATATTTTGCCGACGGGAAGAAATGCAAGATACAAAATTCAAACTGAACCACATTAAGCTAAATAAGTTGTTAACATCGGTCTCACATTTAACATCGTATTTATTTGATCTTAATTACAATTTACTTCATCTACTTTGTGTTGTCGTTAAACGTAGTGTTTTATAAATGACACTAATACGTTTTTTTTATATAAATGAAACGATACATTTATAAATGAAACGACATCCGATCCCATCCGTCCTTACACATAACGATACATCAAATCCGTCCCTACATCTAAATTATATGAGCGAGACAGGTAAATTAGAACATGACGATAAATCAATTGAAATGAAATACGGAGTATTCCGTATTTGGGTTTGGTTGCACATAGCAGGAAACAGCTTATGGGAGTTCGTTTCCTAGCTCCATCTCTTAGACATAAGTCTGTCTTTTAGTTTTAGGGGTGGGCGTGGTCCGGAACGGTCCGGTAAATTAGTAAAACCCGTAATGTATCCGTGAGGTTTTCAACGGTCCGGTTCCAAGGATGGAACCGTTCGGTACCATGTCGTTTCGGAACGGTACAAAACGGTACGGTACAATGCCAAACACATGCTAAAAATTTTGAACAAATCTTGCAATTAGTAGATATCATCACACCAACCAACTCACATGAAAATGTTGATATAAATACAAGAAATTGCATACGTAGTACTAAAATTCACAAATATACAAATAGTGCAACACAACTAAGAAAAAGTATATCAAAAGGATGACGCACGAGATATGTATCATCTTTAATTTACTAAGTTCATGTGAAAATATAAAAAAAGAATATCATTAAATTGTTGAATATAATAGAAATCTCCAACGTTCTTCTTTGTTCTATGTTAAGTATTACTTCGTTGTTCTAATTTAATTTATAGTTGAACCTTGAGAGGTAAGATTTAAACCATATTAATTAAGTAGTAACATTGCACAAACATGATACAACAAAAAGTCATGTACACTGAATTACTAGAAATGAAAAGTGATTAAAGATTTCTAAAATTTTAATATTCTTTCAATACATACAAAAATATAACATAAATATCGAAAAAGAAAAATAACAATATTTATATAAACACATACATTGAGCTATTTTAGGGACGCATGAATACATACTTAGGGTATAAAATTGTTGGTCTATAAAAGAGATCTAATGGTATAGAAAAATATAAAAAATTCAAATACATTATTTTCAAACGGTCCGGTCCGGTATTTTTCGGTTCTCAAAATCTAGAACCGGTTTCGTACCCATTTCAAACGGTACGGGACAAAAATCTATAGAACCGTTGAAATACCCGGTATTCGGTTCGGTACCATTACGGGACGGTTCGGTACCGGTTCGGTTCGGGTTTTATGCCCACCCCTATTTAGTCTTATATCACGATTTTTATACTCCTATAAGGATGCTCTAAATTGCACATAAAATTTATGATTTGGCCTAATTATATATAATTTGATCTAAATTGGTTTGAACTTGTTTATTAAATGTTTGGTTTTTGTGTATTTTACAAATGTATGTCTGGTCTACTTAAATATGGTCTAGGCTGGTTTGTTTAAATCTGATTTATTCCGATCTATTTAATTTTAATTTGATTTATGAGGTTTTTACTAAAATATTACAAATACAAAAGATATGGACAAAAATGTGACTTAGTAACTTTTAGTGACTCTAAATGTACTCAAAGTTCACATCATAGTAACTACACCATTGTAACTTTCGATACAATTATAGTCACTTAAAGTTACCAAGTCACATTTCCGTCCATCACTTTTCCAGAAGTAATATTTGTGGAATTCATTCTGCTCTAATTTGATTTTTGATGAAAATAAGTTCAAGTAAAAACATCCTTACTACTTATAAATGACTCCATTCATCCCATAAATTAGTTTTCATTTTACTTTTGAGTCATCCCAAAAAATAGTTCGCATTTCCTTTTTTAAAAATTTTTGTGTGACCACCATTCATTTATCATTTTTTACTCAAGCACAACTATACATTTTCACTTTATTCTCACTTTCTTAGACTACGATCCAAATCAAATCTCCTTTTCATGACCATAAAAAACTCACTTTTCTTTATATATTTTTCTTTAGCCCCATGTTGGGAGGGGGTTAAAGAAAAATCCATAAAGCTTTTCAAAGGTTTTGTCATACAAAATCCTTACAAAGTCAAACTTTGTCATCATTTTTTCATTTTTTGCAATAACTCGTGAAACTCTTCTAATGCTTTGTTTAACAAAAAAACGAAACTCTTGTAAAGCTTTGTTTAACAAAAAAACGTAACCACATTTACTATGAGCATGTTGTAATGTAAAGGTGGAGTTGCTTTTGTTTAACAAAAGTTTCCACTAAAGCCATTCTTATCCAAAGTACATTTTATCATAAGCTACGGAGTATTATTTTCATAATCGCATAACCAAAATAAATGTGTTATACCTTTTTCGCTTATCTCTTCTTGAACATTTTGTGTCTTTGTTTCTTATGTGACAAATGATCCCTCACTCTTAGTCGGCTCTTACCATTTTCTCTTTCTTTATAACTTCTTATCACACAATTTTCAATTTTATACGATTATATACTAAGTCATGAATACATACATTATTACCTTTTGTTTGGTTTGGAGGTAGTATTTTTTTTGAAATATTCTTCTAAACTCTATTATAGTATTTGCTCTTGTTAATGTCAATATATTTGATTGAGATGTGATTTGAATCTGCGACCTCTTCTTAAAAATCGACAATAATGTCGTCAGACCACAATTCAAATTCATTAATATCTCTTAGGTACAAAAGATCTAACACCAAAAAAAATCTAACATACAATTACTCAATTAGAGAGCATATATCGTTTTGTTCTTATCAGAGGGGCCGGTGGGTGGCTGTACAAATCAAAGATCCAAATTACAAAGATCTTCAAGATTCTCATACCCCATTTCATGTCCTTTGTATTTGCCTGATTTTTGTTCCCAACTTTCAACGTCACCTACCAGCCATATATCTTCCTACTTCGATCTCATATATTTTTATAAACCTTTTGCACCGATCATCAATATATTCTTCTTGTTTCCATCGAACCCGATTCTCTCCTAATCCTCCAAATTTATACGTCCTAATATATTCCATGCATATCTTTGAAGAAGAAATAAACATCTCTTGAAATTAAAGCAAATCTCTACTCCATATTTATGGGTTACTTCTATATTTCTGGAACGTTTTAAATGGTCAAAATTAAAGGTTGTGGTGGGGATCAACATAGATATTACAAGTATTCGGGATACTTAACCCCGCTCAGAATACTTTAAGCAATGCGGGTTGAATTAAAAGACAAGAATCAAATTGTTGAGAATAATATGCTTCCAATAAATATACCATTATCAAAGCATAATTTGAAACTAAAAGGCACCTTATACGCTGGATTGTGTTGGTGCTTTTGCTTTGATAAAAAGTACCTCTCAAATACTTATATAAACGAATCAAATTTTGCATTTTGATTTAGCGAAATCCGTGACAAGTGACATGTTTTTTGTATGGTACTCCGTATAAAGCTACTTCAAATCTCCCATCATATGATAAGATTAGTATACGCAATGATTATGTTATTAAGAAAACGATATTGGATTAATAAAATAAAGTGAATAGAGTTAGAATCAATCAATTGCAACAATTCAAATATTATCAAATACTCCGTATGTTATTAGACCAATTTAGTAGATAAATCAAAAGAGTAAAATGACAGAAGATAGGGATTCGGAATTATTTATAAATTAAGAATGATTTTGCGTCGCATAATATAACCTAATAAGTTCGAGAAAAGCATTTCAGGAATCTACAATACAGTTTTTTGTACTTTATTACTCACCCCATGTCCCCATGTTATTTTGTCTCAACTTCATTTTAAAAGTTCGTTTGAGAATATTCAAATTGACTGAATTAGTTCATTTTTTGAAATTGATTAAGTTTTGGCTAAAACGTTTGGCTAAATCTGCTAAACTAAAAAAAAAGTATACGAAATATATTTTTATTAATAGAATAGAGAAAACATTATATATGAAAAAGCTAAAATGATCTTCTAAGTAATCTCAATCATATTTTGGTTATAAAACACTATAAAAAATTTACGAGAATGACACAGATTAAGCACGAATTTACTAATGATTTCATATCAAATAATTTGTGTCAAAGTGTTTTTGGCACACAAATTTGACATATCTCAGCCAAATCATATATGAATTTTGGTGAATTATAGCAAAAAATTAATCCCGTATTTTTTGTAGTGATTTTTGCACGTGAAATTTAAATATAATGTCAAACATAATCACATTTCATGCCTCACATTTGATGGAAACCATACATAAAACTTTATTTAAATATTTTTGCGATTTAATGTCTCAAACTTAGTTTTAATTTGTAATGCCAGTCTGGTAACCGTACTATTTAAAGATTGTTTTGAATAGAACCTTACTATTTAATGATCAGATTAGTAAGCGCTTGTTTCAATTCTAACTTTAAACTTACGCGTTCTGAGTTGCTAAATAATGAAAAGAAAAAACACCACATTTGATATGCTTTTCTAAATGCTAAGAATGTGGAGAGTCGTTATAGATAATTTATTTTCAAAATAAACATCAAATCAAACTATGAAGATCAAAATACTGTATAACATAATATATTTCTGGAATAAAGATCTGGGTGGGGCGAGGGTAATAAATTGGACAAAGCAGACAAATCTAGGGTAGGCGGGGAAGGATGCTTTGTTTTTGTTTTTGTTTTTTTTTTTTTTTGTTTTTTTTGTTTCTCTTTATTAAAATCCTCAAATTGGAAAGGTTGGCCGAGTGTGGGGAAAGTTGGAATATTGACCGAGAACAAATCTGCAGAGGTCGAGTGAAGGTTATTGGGCCGAGCTTCTTATGCACACGTATTCATTATTGAACCGACTGAATCGCCATGACTTACAATCTCTCAAATGACTTGTCGAGTCGGGAAGTTGGACCGAGATTCAAACTTTTGGAACATATTAAAATCATCAGAACGACCAGGTTCCTTCCTGTCCATTTCAAATGTCCAACAAGATCAGATCTTCATGATTCACTCCCATATCTCCTCTCATCATCCTCTGTATTTGTCCCAACTTTTCTGATCCGTCTTCCCACCGGCATATCTTTGCTCTTCATATTCTCCACTACTAGCTTCTATATATATTGGCCGCAATTCTCTCCAATAGTCCAATCCCACAATTGATCTTCAATTTCTTCTCCTGCTTGATCCTTCTATTCCAATTTTTTCGATAAAAAAATGACCCCTGCAGATTGTCAAAAGTTCCACGTTCTGGCCGTCGACGACAGCATAGTCGACCGGAAACTGATAGAGAGGGTCCTAAAGGCCTGCTCCGGCGACGAAGACGTGAAAGTGACGGTGGTGGATTCCGGGGCGAAGGCTCTCCGGGTGTTGAACGAAGTCGGGGCGGATCTGATCATCTCCGATTACAGCATGCCCGGAATGACCGGCTACGATCTGCTGAGGGAGATCAAGGGCTGCCCGGCTTTCAAACACATCCCCGTCGTGATTGTGTCGTCCGAGGATGTTCCTTCCCGGATCAACAACTGCCTGTCGGAGGGCGCGGAGGAGTTCTGCCTGAAACCGGTCCGGCTGTCGGACGTGAAACCGCATCTGCAGAACGCCTGCAAAGGAAGGGCGTCTAAGGGATTGACTTCTTCACTTTGTGGGATTGTTTGATTCGTCCATTTTTGAGGATTTTGAAGAAGTAGTGTGTTAATACTGATTGATTGAGAACCGTTTTGCAAGTGCCGCTAAGACAGACATATTCTGCTCCATCCTCTAAATTAGTTGTATGATACGAATAAGGTTAATTTTATGTATTTAGAATCTGTTCTCAAAACTTCTACGGAGTAATGAATTGCAAAAGGCTGACTTAGACTATTGAAAGCTCTACACTTGAAGTTTGAAGCTTGAGGAAGAGTTAATTCATCTGGTTAGTAATCGAGAAGGGAAGGAGTAAAAGCTAATGAAATTCCTTTTCATCATTGTAATTTTAAAGAAAAAATCAGTTCAAATAAAGGGTTGATAGTCAATCTCTTGTGAATTTAAATAAGTTCTATCAATTCTATATGAATCGAGCTTGGCTTGAAAATTGACTTGACTCGTGTATAAAAAAAAACGATTCAGGCTTCAAAAGCCATTGACAAGCCGAGTTGACTCAACTGGATATGGCTCCACTTTTGCCATTTATCATCTTCTTGTTGTGTGTGATTATTTTATATTTTAGATACTTTTATTTGAATATTACTAATTTTGAACCAATTACCAAAAAAAATGACTCTTTTTAAAAAAAGGCAAAAAAGAGATCAAGAAGATCATATTAATGTCATTCCCCGATTTTAATGTCACTATCTTGTTTTAATATCACTATCAAATGTCACTGCGGTCATCGCCCGTGTCACTGCACCCCTGTAACTGTAGCCACCACCAAACCTCCCACCGCCGGCCACCACCACTCTCCACCATCGCAGGTACCCCCCACCCCACCCCACTCCGGCGGCCAGCCACAATAGGCCATCTACAGCCCGCACCCATGTCAGCCCCGCTGCAGTGACACCGCCATCGTCTAGTGACACCCCGTCGGCACCGTCATGCCATTGACACGGCCAAACCGTACTGCCCCTTCCCCTCCCATCCATGCCGCCAGGGTCACAGTGACCCAGCCATCCCCGGTCAACACCGCCAGTCACCACCACGAGCCACCCGCCCTCAGCCCCAACATCCAGCCACCCGCCCTCATCCCTGACATCCAGCCACCCGCCCTACCCCAGTTCCCAACCCCCTCCCCTACTCCCCGACCCAGCCCCTTGTCCTCCCCCCAAGTCCTTCTCCAGCCAATTCGCATAAAACCTCAGCCCTAACACCACCGTCAGCGGCAACAGCCCCAAACCAGACCCCAACAGCAGTGTCGGCCCCATATCGGACCCCACCTACAGCGGCGGACTCAAATCGGACCCAAATCAGACCCAAAATCAGAGCCATTGTCCATGGAGTATGGAGGATCCAGCTCCGGCACTAGCACTGGCGGCCCAAATCGAAGTCGTCTCTTGTAGAGATAGATGCATCTTAAACTGGCGGCCTCAGATTGGAGGCTTCGTACACCGGAGGCGCGGCTAGCTACGACAATAGAGAAGGTAGACGAAGGTCAGGGCGGAGGTGCAAGATGCTACTGTCAGCGACGTCCGATTGCGGCGGAGGTGGTGGTTGCAACTCGTCGCGAAACGCAGGCGGTGATGATGGTTCACTGATGAAGACGGAAAAGAGAGTGCATTGACTAGTTCGAATTGTTGAAAGGGAAGAATAAGCAGCGAGAGTTCAACACGGAAGAAGGCACCGAGAGTAAAAAAAAGTCACTTTTGTGTCTTTTTAAAAAGTGCTCATATTTTTGCCCATCAAAAGATGGGAAGTAACATCCGTGCCATTCTTTCTAACTATGATGTTATAAATATATTACTTTTAATATTTGATAATTAAATTATCTTTTAACAGTGCAAACTATTTTCAAGTATAAATGAGAATCTTTAATTGGGATGTTCAAAAAAGAAAAGTAAGAACCTTAAACTGGGATATAGGAAGTTATTTAGATGGTTCGATTACTGCCCCTCCTCTTTATGATTTTGATATGTATCGTCGCGAGACAAATAGTTCTGTATAATGTCATTGGTTAAAAGTTGATCAAATTGTGTGTTCTTTGGACCGTTTCTTCACGTGTTGTTTCAATTGTGGTTCACGAATTAAAGAATTCATTTACTATTTGGGACCGTTTACAATCACGATTTATGTCTGCTAGAATGACTCATTGGAGTATATGGACCCGGATCCCCAATGTCAGGACTATAGAACCTATACAACAGCAACCCTCATTCGCTCGTCATACATCATTTATATTATTGTACAACTTATTTTATCCATTGTATTTGTTAGATTATCTTTTATTAGCTATTTCATGCAGTTGGGCCCATCGGCCCATATTAGCAGCTCGACCCACTCTTTCTCAATATGTATATATACTCCGATTGGGAGGTTTTATAACCCTAATTGATATTCATATACATATTTACTGTTCATCATCGCATTATCTTTTACCTCTAAATCTCTCCTACATAATATAGATTGGATCCAATAATCCATCAAGCTAATTCCATGAGGTTAAATCGTCTGATTTATCATGCTAATAAACGAGATAATGAGATTGTGGAACATTATCTTAGAAGTATCAAAGTGATTGTTGAGAATCATGGTGCCATCATCAACATTCCACTATCCTTTGATGATCCGTTATAATACACCATACTTGGTTTTTGTCCTGCATACTAATATCTTATCACTGCTATTGGTCTGTTTCTGAAAAGGTCTCACGTTTGATAAGCTTCATACCAAGTTGATTATGTAGGAACAACGCATTCAGTACCTTCATTCTCCTTATCAGGGCTAACTTACATCGACTTTGCTGGCGAGGCTACCTCTATCTTGATGGCCACTAGTTTTTCTCTGCATGGCACCTCCAGTCGCGAACAAAGGCAGAGAGGCCGCGGGGGTCGCGGGCAGCGTTTCTATGGAAATATACCTCATCAGAACACGCTTGATTATGGTGCAAGCACTTCTTCACACGTTGGTATTCTTAAGTCCCAGGTACAGCTTGTAATTTTGTTTAGTCAAATTTTTATACTCATTTCTATCTCCTTCTATTACTAATCGTGGTTTTGCAAAATTCTCGATTAGTTGAAAGGAGTTTTGGTTCTATTCCTCCCTTCATAGTTTTTCAAGTTTTCCATGTCCAAGATAACTCAGTTAGTGCCTGTCTGGCTCGTTTTTCAACCATCGGCACCTAATATTACGGTTGCTTCTGTTGAATCAATTGATGTTCTATGATATCCATATTCTGGTGCCTCTATCCACATGACTCCTTATGAGGGTATTTTGTCACATAAATTTGTTTATTCTAGATATCATTTTACCACAGTAGTACATGATATATACTTCTTGTCATGAATATTGGTCACATGAATTTATCTTCCTCTCATTGCGTTCTTCATTTAAAATCAAAATTTCATGTTCTACACATTAAATACAACTTATGCCCATTCAAAATTTGTGTGCTCATAACAACATAGTGTCATTTTTTTAAAAAGCTTCTTTATATGATAAGGACAAAACCTAGAGGGGTTCTACTTCGGTCATCCAGCAATAATGGAGTTTATACTATTCGCTCTTCTCTATCCTCACTTGTTACATTGTCAGCTGACGGCACTAAATTAAAGTCGTTGTGTGCCTCAAAATAATATCGATTGATATGCACTAATTAGTAATGCATAAATGTATCTTTTTATGTTTGATTTGTGTGAATTGTTTACCATTTTATTTAGTTTGTAAACATTTGTGTGGTTTTAGTTGTAATTGTATTTTAGTTCTCATTTGTAATTTGTAATGTAGAATTATGAATTATGGTGTTGAAAAGGAGGACTTTGAGGTGAAGAAAAAGGAATTTTGAGTGTCCAGGAGCAAATACCCGACCGGGTAGAAGACTTTACCCGGTCGGGTCTGATTCAAACAACCGAAAGTGCCTGGAAAATGCACTCACCCGGTCGGGTCCCCTACCCCACCGGTCGGGTCTGACTTGACCCGGGACATTTTAACGTGCTGAAACACAAGAACGTGGAAGATTATCTGATTTTGACATGCACCCGGTCAGGTGGGCACTTGACCCGGTCGGGTACTCGGCCCGAGGTGTTGAAAATCACCTATAAATAGCACACTTTTCCTTCACAAATATTCATTACTCCTTCCATACTCTTAAGCTCAACTTAGAATAGTATTTTTTTTATATTTTTTATAGCATGTTTAGTCTCCAAATGAGGAGCTAAACTTCCATTTCTTGGTGTTGCTCTTGAAGCTTATTGACTATTAATGTTGTGAATTATTTTCTTAACTTCTTCCCTTGAATATTAATTCTTCCCTTAATTTATCTATATATTAATGTTGGGGAGTGTTGTTAAGATGACAATTAGTTAACATTTTGACATTAGTTATAGTAGTATTTATTTTCTTCCTCTATATATTAATGTTGGGGAGTGTTGCTAAGATGACAATTAGTTAACATCTTGACATTAGTTATAGTAGGATTTATCATCTTTAATATTTTTCTTTGAGTATTAATTAATTCATTCCTATTCATATTTCATATTAACATTTTGAACATTACTTAAGGGATCAGCTAGTTTTGTTTCATATATTAATTATTACTAGAATCGATCGACGAATACGCTTGTTAATCGTTGATGGTTTCACAAGTAAGTAACTTCGGTTTATTAATGCACGGTCGTGGTTAATAAACTTAAGAGGGATTAATTTTGTTGGTTAAACCGAAACCGTTGTGTTGAGGTTATCAATCTCAATTGATTTCATCAAGGAGTTAGGAGATTAAATGCTACTATCAAGTCGGTATATGGCGGTGTTCTATACGTGACTAATAGTAATGGTTATTAATGAACGGTCGTTGTTAATAACTATCCTCGATGAATTGGATATACTCCTCGATTGAGTATTCGAAAGGGGATAAGTTATAGATATAACAATGATCGACTAAAATATATCAACATGTGAAAAGTAGCAATGCCAAGTCCTTTTTATCTTTGAATTAAATCTCATATAAGTCGTTCATCTTTTATAGAACACTGTCATATACCGACTTGATGGTACCATTTAATCTCTTAACTTCTTGATGAAATCAATTGAGATTGATAACCTTAACACAACGGTTTCGGTTTAACCAACACAATTAATTCCTCTTAAGATTATTAACCACGACCGTGCATTAATAACCTTAAGTTACTTGTGAAACCATCAATGATTAATCATCGGTTCATTGATCAATTATAGTAGTAATTAATGTCGAGATGTTAACTAATTGTCATCTTAGCAACACTCTTCAACATTAATATGGAGATAGGTTAAGGGAAGAATTAATATTCAAGGGAAGAAGTAACAAAATAACTCATAACTTTAACATTCAACAAACTTCAAGAGCAAAATCCAGAAATGAGAGTTTAGCTCCTCAATTGGAGACTAAACAATGCTAGAGAAATATAAATAAAATAATATTCTAAGTTGAGCTTAAGTATATGGAAGAAGGAATGATTAATATGAAGGAAAAGGGTACTATTTAGAGGTGTTTTGGAGGTTCTATGGCGGATACCCGACCGGGTAATTGAGATATTCAACCGGGTATTTGTCAAATCATATCTTTTCACATGTATTTGTGTTATTCAGCACGTCTTGTTGCCCAAAATCACTTCATACCCGACCGGGTAATGGGATACCCGGCCGGGTATCAGTGTATTTTCCCAGCAATTCTTCGTTTTTCACTTCATACCCGACCAGGTAAGTCACCAAATCACATTTTTAGCATGATTTCTTGCTCCCTTGCACCTTCCTTTGGTCTTGTAAGATATCTTTCATTCTCCTTTGTTTTATTCAAGGTCAAAATCTTCTAAAACTAATAAATTACAATAAACTAGGAAAAATAAAGCATTACACCAAAAGTGTGTAATTTCTCAAACAATAATAAACAAAGCTAGTTAAAATTACAAACATAAACAATAACAATTGTATAGTATCAAATTCCCCCCTATTTAGTCTATTAACCACCCTCGAGTAAAAGTTAACACAACAGTTCATGTTACACAAAACAGATAAATTCAAAGGAATAAAATATTCAGTTTTTCATTCATCCTCAAATTACAAAGAAAGAGGGTCTTCATGATATTCATGAACAAATATTCTTTTCATTGCTTGCATCCCAAAAACTCCCAAGTGAATTGAGTTAATATATAAACTCAGATAAAATTTCCTCTCATTTTCTCATTCTGCCTGGGAGCCTTTTCAAGTTTTCATCTTAGTCTCTCTTTTTATTTTCCTTCTTCTCCCAACTCACTTATTTTAGCCACTTTTCCTTAGATTGTCCAGTTTTGGGTTTTCAACATAACTAGCATTTTTTCTTTTATTTTTTAATTTTTTTTTGTTTTTTATAAAAATCGTGTAAGTTCAAGCTGGAAAAATGAGTACATATCAAATAAGTGACTCCCCCTTACTTAGTCTGAGCACTGCCCCTAGTGCTCTCTTGTCGTCAATGTTTGGATGTTTTTGTTTGGGGGAGGGGGATTTGGGATTTGAGGGGAGTGAAGAGATGAAAATATTGGGGTTTTCTGGTAAATTCGGCTCAAATGGAAAGTGAATTTGAAGAAAGAAAAGAAATTGTGTAGCTATGGAGGTTGTTTAGGATTTAGAGTTTGGTGTGTTTGGCTATGGAGGTTGCGAGAGAGAGTTCGAATTTGGATGAGAATTGGGGAGGGAGAGTAGGTGTCCGATCTGGTATAGGCAAAAAAATTGTATACCCGGTCGGGTATAAGTTCATTTTTGACTTTTTTTGTTTGGTCGGGTGGATGAGTTGACCCGGTCGGTTTTTTCATTCCAGAGGCCTGGGATAATCTTTTTCTTCATACCCGGCCGGGTAGGGGGTGTTTACCCGGTTGGGTGTTTTCGTCCCAGGGGAGGCAATGGCTGTTTGGAGGTAAACCCGATCGGGCAATTGATGGAACCCGGTCGAGTAAACTATATGTTTCAAAAATTCTCTCTGACTCGCCTGGGTTGTGCCTCGGGTAAACAGATTTTACATTATACCCGACCGGGTGTGTGATGGTACCCGATCAGGTATGTGCTCCAGACCTCCACAATTTTTTTATGTGCAAAGTTAAAATAAAATAATACAAGTAAACGTACCTTGCATGGCTTGCCTCCCAAGAAGCGCTTTATTTAACGTCGTGGCACGACGCCATCATTATGTTCAACTCTTCAATCTTGGATCGTGATAATTCATCTTCTTCACATTTTCACTCCTAGGACTTCCACAGGAATGCTCAATTTTCCGACTCTTCACTTTGAAAATCCTTCGAGGATCAAATATCCAAATTTCCATTAAGTCATGTGGTGAGAGTAAGGGGAAGAAATTATGGTTTAGCATGGTCAATGAAAAGTTTTTCCATTATGTTCCTTTTTTTATTAATATATAAGTGATCATTGTATCATGATGATATATTGATATGATACAATGATCACTTATATATTAATAAAAACTAGAACGCATGTGTGGTTTGACTGCTTGTTTTGCACTCAGGGTAGCTTCTTAAAGGTCTATTTGACTTATTTATACATCTCGATATTGTTCAGTCTTATTTGAGTTGAGGGAACTTGTTGAAGTATGTGTCACACATCGGAAACTTGTAAAATAATACGTAGTAACATTATATAAGACTTTAGATTATTTTTAATTCCTAATCAATTGCCCTTTTAGGATGATATATCTGAGCTCATAACAGAAAGTAATTAAATACAAATCTTAATTAGCTTTTGGACAATGCAATTGGTATTTGGTAGGTCGTTTTGCCGTATTGACCAGGCTACCATATTTGATCTTTCGCAGATAACCAAGAACTTAACATGCATGGTTATCAGTACTTATCATATCGATCTCGCTCATCATTCTTGGACTAAAATGGTCAGATGGAAGTGATCCACTGAAGATACACAAGTTGGCGACGCTAATCAGCTAATGTCGCCGCCACTTTGAAATACGAAATATAGCACATATACATATCACGCAGGCACGGAGCTAGATCAAGAAGTGGTTCCGTGTGTTATGAACAAGCAAGGGAAGAGATATTGTTCATAACAGAAAGTAAGACTAGATTGAGCAAGAAGAAGAATATGCACTTTGCATTCAACTGAAAAACTGAACTTCCTCTCCGTTCGTTACCGGGGCCGGTCCTGAGATTTTGAAGGCCCTGTTCGAAATTAAATAAAGGCCCTAAATTATACGTAGTAAAAGAAAAGTACATTCATCCGAATGTTAAAGTTAAATCCCCTATTGATAATTAATTCAATTTTAATATGAAATAATTAAAATTCAAATATTCAGAAACTACATTAAAATCTCTATAAAGTTTGAAAATCCAAGTTAAATTTAATTAAGAATCGATATCCCAATTAAGTGAATAAAAGTCAATTTTACAACTCAAATTGGAATCGATGGAATATTATACGAGTATATAACACATGTAGTGAAAATAATAAACTTAAAAATAAAAAAAGTAAGTATAAAATGTAATGAAAAACTTATTTTGATTGCTATAAAAAAAATTCATTATATAAATGAAATCTAAATTAATAAACAATTGATATAGCTAACTATATAGAAATAAAAAGGGTAACTTACAAATTAAGTATATACGGAGCATGGTAGTATAGTAAAGTAATAGCAATAAGCCAATAATACAGCAGTTAACTTACCAATAAATATATACGTATAGCAATACAATAAATTAGAAACAATGTTCAACGTATTCCAAGTAGTTAACTTGGTTAGTTGGTAAGTCACTTGCTCTTTAAGTTTTTTTTATTTGGCTCAAATCAGCTAATAACTCTAATTATTATTGGGTAATGGGCCCTCCGTCAATTTGGGCCCTGTGCGGCCGCACTGCTTGCACAGTACCTGGGTCGGCCTTGTTCGTTACATCAGTTTATAACAGTCAAATGAGCTAATAACAACCAAAACAATTACAGCCATAGATGAGATGATGACATGTCATCATCCCTTATTTACATGTCATCAAAATTAGAATACTCCATGGCATAAGATTTAAACAAGAAGATTTAATTCTGACACGGTGGTTGATCCCTAGCTAAGCGTTGAAGATGATTTTTTGTAGTGTATTCTCCAAATAAAAGTTCTTGTTTAAAATTATGGAGTAGTGGGAGTCTAAATAAGAATAATAATGTGTGTTTCAAACATAAATATACTTGCACAGGTTTGTTTGGATCTTTGGATAGAGCGCGGAGAGGCTATTGTTCACTTCTTTGCCTCTTTCGCACTTAAATAGTTTCTCTTTTTCCTAAAAAAAAGTTCCGAGTGGTATAAGGTTTAAGTAAAGAGTTTTGCTGGTATACATATGTCTGTCTTTCACAGAAATTTTGTCTGTCACAGACAATACAAAATGAGTTGTCTGTGACAGACAAAATTTCTGTGAAGGACAGACATGTGTACATATTTTGTGTACCTCAAGCATTTTTCTTAAGTAAAGTAGGGTATATTCTTTATAAACCATCTAGTTTGTCAGTATCTTACTCCCTCCGTCCCAAAATTAACTTCTCACTTTCCTTTTCGGGCAGTTTCAAAATTAACTTCACACTTCAAAACTTTCCTTATTTGGCAAATAATCTACATAAAAAAAGTGCCAAATAGTGCCAAACAATGTCAAACAGTGTTTAGACAGTGTAAACTAGTGCACTCCACAGTAAAGTCAAATTTATTTTCTTAATTGTGTGAAGTCAAACTGTGAACTTAATTACGTGACGGTGGGAGTATGTTTTTTTTTAAAGAGTCAATATCGTATGTCTTAATTACGGAGTAGAAGTTTTGAAGTATTCTTATTGAAATTTAAACTCGTGTAGTTTTACCTAAACAATTCAATCTGATTCATTTTTTACGGAGTCTATCCTAAACTACGAGGATAATAAATAGCTCATGACCCCAGGCGGCTCGGTCAAACCACTCTTCAAAGAAGACTGACTAAATGGCTCCAATTAACCACCGGTCTTAAAAGCCGCGTAATTAACTACTCAAACCAGAAAGTGAAGTCTATGGTCAGCCATTTAGTTGGTTGGGCGAGCAGGGCTGCACCCTTTGTGATCATCAATCAGACACGTTGCAGATAGCTGTCCATATCCAACTCAAAGATTTCCCAGATTTATTCCGTAGCCCTACTCCGATCCGATTCTCCATATTGACCTACCATTTTCTCAACTGTCGCGCCAACTGTATATCCAATCTCCAGATATCTTCCCCACCCCCACCCCCACCCACCCCACCCCCTCCATCTTTTTGAATCAGTCCCAGTATATATAGTGCAATCAATACTTCACAACTCCATCCAAATCTCAAATCGTTTTACCCACTATTCTACCTGATTCAATAATTCAATATACGGGTAGGGATATTATCAAACAATGGCAATAGGCGAGTGTCAGAACTTCCACGTTCTAGCCGTCGACGACAGCATCGTCGACCGGAAACTCATCGAGAGGATCCTGAAGGCCTGCTCCGGCGACAATGTGAAAGTGACGGTGGTGGATTCCGGGGCCAAGGCTCTCCGGGTTTTGAACGAAGTGGGCGCGGATCTGATCATCTCCGATTACAGCATGCCCGGAATGACCGGCTACGATCTCCTGAGGGAGATCAAGAGCTGCTCTGCTTTCAAGCACATCCCCGTCGTCATCGTCTCCTCCGAGGATATTCCGTCCCGGATCCACAGCTGCCTGTCGGAAGGGGCCGAAGACTTCTACCTGAAACCGGTCCGGTTGTCGGACGTCAGGCCGCATCTGCAGAACGTCTGCAAAGGAAGGGCGGGCAGGGGATTGAGCTCTGCAATGTGTGGGATCGTTTGATTCATCCATATCAGTGAATTAATTTGAAATTCGTAGTGTAGTGGAGGGGTTTTTCCCGAACAATTTTGTAATGACCATTTCCGATTTTACGGAAATTTAAAATTTAGAAATGGGGATATATTTAGTTGAAGTATTGAAGTTTCTCCTTCCTAATGGTTTATCATATATTTACAGAAGTTTAAAAAAAGTTGTTAGTATCTTAAAATGAAGTGGTGTTCGTGATCATAATGATTTTTTAACCATTATTTTGCCAAAATAAATTGAGAATTAAAGATATCATTACGATCATATTGAAGGATTAAAAATGATAACTGTAAACAGGGGCGGAGCTAGAGGGGTCAGCCGACCCCGCTGAAAGTTCAAGAATATAGAGCTTTGAAATACCTTCAATTTGATATATTATGGGTCTCGTAACTCATTACAAGTAAAAAATTATGACTTCTGAAAAAATCAGCACCATCATAACTTGAAATAAGCAAAATTTGATGTATGACGTTGATTATATTCTTAAATTTAAAAATTAAAACACCTTATTCAGTCATTAATTGTGTAAACATTATGATACATTACATATATATCAATACATTAACCGAAAAATGCTCATTAAACTACCATTTATCTGAACTACATATGAAACATTTTACTCAAGTATTGTATAATAACTATCCATTATTTTGATACTGTATATAATTAAATTGTGACCCCCTCACTCATTTTTCTGGCTCCACTCCAGACTTTAAAAGTTGGAAGTAAATTAGATCATATTGAAGGATTAAAAATGATAACTGTAAAAGTTCGAAGTATATAACCAAAATCCTTTCCAACAACAGTGAATAGTTGAAAGATTAATTTTCGAAAATAAGGTCATGTCTCATGCACATAGTTTGAGTTGCACAAAAAAAAGGATGACACCTCATCCCTGAGGACCCCAACACCAATCAAACAGCACGATGGGAGGATGTAAATTGGACTATAATCATAATCTGGCAGATAGAGAGTGGGACTCTGTCCCCGGGTACTTACAGAAGCTCTATGCATTTTTTAGCATAGTAACCCCTCATCACAATTGCCGGGATTCGAACCCGAGACCTAACCCTTGTGGCACTCCCTCGCTACCAGTTGAACTACGTCCACCGGTAATTTGAGTTGCACCAAGGGTATACTCAATGATTTAATAATACTGCGTATCATTTTCAAGTCCATCACTCCATGGTTTGAGTTGCACCAAGGGCAAACTAATGTCATGTTCATTATTACTACCAATTTTTATAATACTCCGTATATCAATGATTTACGTTTCAAAATAATAACATCAATGATTTAACTGTTGTTAAATTTTCTAATATACTACGGATATAATAGTACGGAGTATAGTGGTTGAGTGTGGTTTGATAAATCTGTGTCTAATGTGTATTTTATAATTTTTGAAATGCTCGTTTGTTAATACTCAAATCGATTATTATGGCTGATTTTGTTAATTTATGAGAAATATATATTTAAAATATATTTTATTAATAAAATAAAGAAAAAATCATATGAAAAAATAGTTAATATGATCCTATACAGTAACTTCAATCAATGCAGCCAGCAAAGTAACTTCAACCTCACATTTCTTTATTGTTACACAACTTAATGCGCGAAATCAAAAATTACATGTTTGGTGAAAAGTTGATTGATAAGTCTGATAATCCGAAAACAGGGTTATCAAACGGGTTTGAAGTTTGGTTTGATCTAGTTTAGCTTGGGACTGAAACTAATTCAATTAAAAAACATCCGAAGTGTTAGATTGTTGGAGGACTAAGAACATGAAAATAATACACGGTAAAAACATACTCCCTTCGTATCATATATGTGCCCATATTCCTTTTAAATGTAATTCAAGATGTTTTATAGCTACATTGTAGATAAAATAATGTTCACTATAGTAAAAGAGCAAAAAAGATCAGGTCCAGCCCTCCCCGGTCCAGCCGCCGTCCGAACTCCGCCGTTTGGGGCGGTTCCTGGTTGAATTTTTTGATGAAATTTTTTGAGCATGTTCTTCATCAAGTCTAGTTTGTCCATACCAAATTTCAGCTCAAATTTGGACCGGGAAGGCATTCAAATCATTTTTTGAAGTTGACTGCATTTTTATATGTATATTTTGGCACAGTCAACTTCAAAAAATGATTTGAATGCCTTCCCGGTCAAATTTTGAGCTGAAATTTGGTATGGACAAACTAGACTTGATGAAGAACATGCTCAAAAAAATTCATCAGAAAATTCCACCGGGAACCGCCCTAAACGGCGGAGTTCGGACGGCGCCTCCCGTCCCTCCGGCTGGACCTGATCACTTCTCAGTAGAAGAGAGAGTAACGCGAGAACTAGCTACAAGCTCACATTTGGGTGTTAAAAGACGGGCGAGGGTAACTGGATTGGGGGTATTTTATACGGGCCTCTCATAACAAGCTTCATTATTGAGGGTGGGTTGGGGCGGGGGAAGACACCTCTCAGACTTAGTGTCATCACTGAGGTTTAAACGTGATTGAGGACACGTTTAATCTCTAAGAATCGTCGTCACATACACATAGGGGACTGCTCCACTTGCTATGTCAGAATCTTCCAAGAGCAGGAAGGTGTCATGCTAAGGGAAAGCAACAACCTCACCAACCCAGAAATGGTACAAGTAGCACTAAGGGTCCCACGGGTCCCGGGACCCGCACACTTCGAAAAATACCTATATATTATATATTTCCTCTGTTCGGTATTAAGTGCAACATGCACTTGGGCGTAGAAACCAAGAAACACTAACAGCGAGTTTGACTTTCCAGTTTTACCCTTCAAGATACAGACAGATCGATACATAAAGTGCTACAGTGCTTTTCCTACAGAAACCTAAAAGCCATGGAGGAGCTTATTTCGATGGAAGATCGTCTTCAACGGCGAAATCGGACAGCACCTCCTTCACCGGCGAAATTGAAATGATCGCATCCTTCTTCTCTGGAACAGAAAGTAAAAAGAAAGAACAATAAAAAATGAACTCTCCTCCTTCACGGAGAAATTGGACAGCAAGCAACTCCTTCCCCGGAAAACTTGACAGCACCTCCTTCACCGTAAAATTGGACAGCGACATGGTTCAACGATGAAATCTCACCTCTCCTTAATTTCCGCAAGAACATGCGACGGAACGGAGCACCCGGAACCACCAAATCCAAGTTTGTAACTCATGGGGGGGTAAGCAGAGCACAACCAATTTCATCACCATCGAAAATACAAATCACAGAAAAGAAACATAAAAAATGGATGATGGAAAGAAATGGAAAATTGGTTGAGTGGGTGAAGAGAATTGATGATACAAGGAGCGGTAAAGAAGAATGGAATTGTGAGTGGGTGGAGAAATCAAAGAAAAAGAAAAAAAAAAGCAGAAGAGGAAGGTCGATGAATAAGGAAGGGTACAGAGGTCAATTGGCTCAGAATTTCTTTCCCAAAATGGAAACGTTGCATTTAATTTGAAACTGCCGAAAATGGAAAGTGTTGCACTTATTAAAGAACGAAGGAAGTATATATTTTATAAAAAAACTATTTACAAAGTGTATATTTACGATAAAAACAAATGAAAATTGAAAGGACTTGAGTAGAGGAACGGTGGGACGCATGGACTTGAGGCTTACTATTATGTGCAGGTGCTGTGTTCGATTCTTGCCTGCTTTTTTAGACTTATTTTTTGGCCTATTAAGTAGCACAAAACTAAGCATTTTGGCCTATTTTTTAAATCCCAATCCGCTGACCACGATAAATAGATCGGGTCCTTTTCTTTGAATGTTAAGATTAGATCAATAAATTTATGTACTGATTCTTCCCCCCATATGTTATGATTTAGAATGAAAAGATATTTTGGTGTTATATCCAAATTTAAACAAATTCGGAAGTAGTGTTCAAATGATTTGGCTAATAATCTACGTGAACCACATGTTGATTTTGAATTTTAATCCACTGACCACGATACATGGATCGGGTCCTTTTCTTTGAATGTTAATATTAGATCAATAAATTTATGTATTTAAGATTTTTTTACCGATATTTTATGATTTAGAATGAACAGATATTTTGGTGTTCGTTGTATCCAAATTTAAACAAATTGGGAGTAGTGGGAGTAGTGAAGATGGTAATTCAAATGATTTGGCTAATAATCTACGTGAACCACATGTTGATTTTGAATCTTAGGAGGGTACATTTGTAGAATTGTAGAATGATTTTTATATGTAATTTTTTGCTTCTATATACAGGGGAGGATCTATATATGGGCTATGGTGGGTTGAAGCCAGGGCAGCTATTTTTTTTTATAACTTTTTGTGTAATTTTTTTAAATTTTCATATTTAGCCCACCCCGTTAATATTTAAGCCTACTATAATTGTTTTTCAGCTCAGGGTATCCCGAATTCCTGGATCCGCCCCTGTCTATATACTATCTTAATATTTTGATTATGTACGCTAATTATGAAATGTTATGCTTCTTTAATATTTTTTATTGATTTTATATTAATTAGAGTTACATTAGAGTATGGACCCCGTCACTCTATTTTTCTGGGTCCGCCACTGTCCAAAGGAAAGTAGATACCAAAGTTAGGCGGGGTGCTTCAAGGAAGCTGCAACTTTTTTTGACATTCATCGTTGAACCATTCACAAGATAGGGGAAAACTGCATAAGACTGCAAGGCTAAAGCAAAAACAATTAACTCTAAGGGGAAGGGAAGGAATGGAAGGAAGAATAAAGTTATAGACATGTCTATAATATGAGTCCTTCCCATTTAATAAAGGAGTACAATAAGCATCGTAACAACAATGGGAAACCTTGAATAAAGTATACAACGGTTAGTGAAAAGAGGGGAAACCAACAGAGACTTCAATGCTATTAAACCATTGTTCGAACTTGAAAAAGCATGTTAAATAGGCTAGACTTATAGAAAAAGTTATGTAGTTAGGTGCAAATAGCTCGGGCTAGATTCAATTACCAAGATGAGTGTATTTTTGTGGTAAAATATGAATGGCCATTTGTGCACATGTAGGAGGCGCATAGGGAAAGCAAAAACATAGCAAAGGGCGCAACAGAACTAAAACCAATAGCAATTGTGAGTAAACAAGCATACATGCATATGTTAATCGACTATCTACTATCAATACTAAAGAAGATGTGGCATGCGGGGGGGGTGAGAACACAATATACATTCACATATATCCCTTAATTGCATACAAC